ATTTATTATAATATTACTATATTTATCATATTTTTATTTCTATTTATTATAATATTTTATATTTATTATAATTTTATTCTATTTATTATAATTTTATTCTATTTATTATAATATTATTATATTTTTATTCTATTTATTGTAATATTATTCTAATTAGTACAATATTATTATATTTATTCTAATTTTATTATATTTATAATAATATTATTATATTTATTATAATTTTATTATATTTATTATAATATTACTCTATTTATTATAATATTATTATATTTATTATATTTTTATTCTATTTATTAAAATTTTATTCTATTTATTATAATAATATTCTATTTATTATAATAATATTCTATTTATTATAATTTTATTCTATTTATTCTAATATTATTCTATTTATTATTATATTTATTATAATTTTATTTATTAATAAAAAATAATAATTATAGTAATATAGAAAAAATTTTAAAACTCAAGAGAAGTGTGTGTGTATGATGGGCACAAACTGATGAGCATTTTAGGAATTCCTATCTTAATTATTGATATGTTCATTATAGGGATTATATTATCATTATAGTGGATAAATTACATCCTACAGCAAGGCATTTGATCAGGAGGGTTTGAGCAGCCTGCAACCTCCTCTTAATTGCTGGTGTTGCCAGGTTCACCCTAACCTGGGCTTGTAGCACCTGTTCTGGATCCCAGCTATGGGTAAATAGTTGGGCCTCCCAAACTGGGAACGAAATAGTATGTAAGTGTAAAAAATAAGTTTTTGATACCAGAAATACATTTTTGTAACAAAGAAATATTACCAGCAATACATTTTTGAAAAAACAATACTACCAGCAATAGATTATTGAAGAAAAAAAATTACCAGCAATACATTTTTGGGAAAAAATATTACCAGTAATAAAAATTTTGTCGGCAATAAATAACCCATTGAGGTTGATATGCCGTAAAACAAAACAGACCAAACTAAACCAGCAATAAAAATCTTGTCGACATTAAATAACCCATTGAGGTTGATATGCCGTAAAACAAAACAGACCAAACCAAACCAGCAATAAAAATCTTTTCGGCATTAAATAACCCATTGAGGTTGATATGCCGTAAAACAAAACAAAGCAAACCAAACCAGCAATAAAAATCTTGTCGGCATTAATTAACTCATTGAGCTTGATATGCCGTAAAACAAAACAAACTAAACCAAACCAGTAATAAAAATTTTGTCGGCATTAAATAACCCTTTGAGGTTGATACGCCGTAAAACAAACGAAACCAAGCAAAACCAGTAATACATTTATGAAGAAATTGTCTTACCATCAATAAATACCTTGTCTGCATTAAATAATCAGTTAAGGTTGATATTCCATAAAATAAAACAAACCAAACCAAAACCAGTAATACATTTTTGAAGGAAAAATTCTTACCAGCAATAAAAATCTTGTCGGTATTAAATAATCCATTGACGTTGATATGCCGTAAAATAAAAGAAACCATACCCAAAGCAGTAATACATTATTGAAGGGAAAAATCTAACCAGCAATAAATACATTGTCGGCATTAAATAATCCATTGAGGTTGATATGCCATAAACCAAACCAAACCATTTATTATTGATATGTCGAATCGATCGGCCCTCTCTCGTATCCAAGTATTTAGTTTTTCTTTGCTGATCGCTTCTTTTTTGCAGATGGCGTTGATGAATAAATTCACCGCCAACGTGCAGCTTCAGCACTAGAAATTTTCAGTTTCACTAAAACCTGTTCCTGTCATTCAATCCCTCTTGCCGTTTGGCTTTGCAAGGTTTGGTTGGTGGTGAAAGAAATTCAACGCAAAAGAAAGTGCCGATGACGAGAATTTGTTTAAGGTGGAACTCAACTTGCCTCATTATTGATATACAGTGTAACTCGGATATAAGGGAAACCCGGATATAAGAGAGATTTTATCTGGTCCCAAATTAGAGCCTGTGTTAATGTATACATATAGACCAAACCCGGATATAAGATAAACCCAGATATAAGAGACTTCTTCTCCGATCCCGACAACTCTCTTACATCCGGGTTATACTGTATTTGTATAATGAATAAATACGTTTTGTGCCCAGGTTTTTTTATTACTGTATACCTACTTTTGCATCCCCCTATATGGTAAGTTTTTTTTTTTTTTTTTTTTTTTTAACATGCGTTTGAAACATACCCACACGAGATATTTTAATTCTACTTTTTTATTATTTCATACCATGTCATGTAGGCGATTATGACTCTCACCATTCTATTTTTCTTTATTGCGAAAACCCATGACGTCTTTACAGATAACAGAGTGCTTTCTTGTTGCCTTCTCTACAGTTTAGTCGTCCTGGGTAAGACGTTAAACTACATCCACGTCCTGGGTAAGACGTTAAACTACGTCCAGCAGCAAGGCCTCTGATCAGGAGGTTTTGCGATTCGTAGAACCACCTCTTAATTGCTGGTGTTCCCAGGGGTGGTAGCACTTGTTAGTGTCCTAGCTATGGGTAAATAGTTAACTATTACCAGCAATACTTTTTTGAAAAAAAATATTACCAGCAATACAATTTGGAAGGAAATATATTACCAGAAACAGGTACGAAAATTGTAACGCTGCAAGAACATACTGGCATGCCTCACCAATGAGTAAATCAAAGTACTATAGACTGGAGCCGAAACTCTACTGATTTAAATACAATCTACTATCTGTGGTCAATCTGTAAGAAAAGATGTCGTGGAATGGGCATACGAATTACTAACATGTGCACTGGGTCATGTTTCTTTGGAAAAATACGAAAAAAAAGTAAATAATAACGGAATTATTCGTTTGTGTTTCAATTTATTTGCACAAGGGTGTACACGGTATTTTAGAAGGCGGCTCTCACTGGAGCGGCGTCCGCAAAATTTGACTGCTTCAAATTTTTAATCGCAGAAATAGGAACCACGGAGGATAATGGTAGGACAAGGAATTAGCAAAAGAGAGATTATCGACAGTGTTATCTGGACGTCACAGTGAAACTTGTAAATTTCATTCCGTCTTCAAACAGAGAAAGAATGAAAAGCTCTCAAGATGGCGCTGACTCTCGAAGATTTAATCGGAAAATATTATCCAAACGATGATCTCGTTTCTTCTGATGTGCCGGTCGGCCGGAGAAATGTTCACGTGTCCGCCGGATAGGGAAGCCAGGCGGCGAACTGTTTACTCGGTTCAAGAACTTATCACACGCTCACTGACGCCATGTCTCTCCGTCATTCTCCTTTGAAACCACACATATCCTTTACAAGCCGTAGCAGACCGACCCACACAGTGGGTTTTATCATTTCTCGCTAGATAGACACCCACAAAGTGCACACTTATTTTTATCGCCACAAGTGGTTTTAATTCTTATTCATGTTTGTTGAAGATTGACATTGTAAGACCCCTGGGCTGAAAGCTAGCCTCGTGACTTAGATAAGTGACGCCAGAGTTCAGTGTTCGAATTGATTTCCATGCATGATTAATAAAACGTTATTTGAAAGTTTGGCAAAGCACATTAGTCTTCTCTCTGTGAGGACGCCTTATCATTATTTACGTTATTTTGTTATGGCTCTTGATCCCTTGAGGAACATAGGGCCGTAACAACACCACTCAAGCGGACGGGGTTCCGGGCGAACCTCCTCAGTTCGGTCCATGTCGTGCCGGCTGTTTCACAAGTCTATTTTGCGCCAAGTCTGTTTTGGTAGACCGACTTTTCGCTTCCCTTCTGAATTCCAGTTAAGGTCCTGCCTAGTGACATTAGAAGCAGGCTTAAGGAGTGT